CCCACTTCAGGTTCAAGTTTTTGGTCAAGGTAGTTTTTGATGAAGTTGAAGTCCTATCAACTAGAAACTTTGTACACATGTTCCTTATGATATGATCTTTTTAATTTTAATGCTGAATTAGAGTTTTTACCCCAATTTCAAGGTCCACTGAATATTGAAAATAATAGTGCGATTGGGGCACTTGTGTATTATGGACACATTCTTGTTTTTTCCTGTTTTGTAAATGTCCACACTTAAGAAAACATGCATATAAACTTGAAAAAAGCCTGTTCTTAACTTGCTTCTTATTTGGCTATAATAGCTGAAACAGTGAATTATTTCTATTTATTTTCTTTGTTACTGTAAATTTAGAAATTGTTAATATTTTTTTTAAATGAATAATTTAGTACTTTCTTTAAAAATCACAATTATAAATTGATGTAATAATTTCTGAATTTACAGTATCTCAATGATTTAAATTCATAATCAAAGTTTGTATAGTTTGACATGTGAATGTTATGTTAAAAAAAAGTGGGAAAGCAGAATATGTATTATATTCAATTTATTATACTTCAGTGTGAGGACCTACGTGGACAACCAGATGAACAGGCGTCTCCGACGAGTTGGTATGCCATACGGCTATGTGGCTCCACGAGTAGAGGCACCACGATGCTCTCGTCGTCTTTTAGGGTTGGAGCCTGAACCAGTACTTGTCCCAGTTGCCTCTCCTGAGCTGCCAAGAAATGATCAACCTGAACATTTCGAAGCAGTTGTACCTCGTGCACGATTATTCTCTGTCATGGTTCCTGAAGCAGCTATTCAAATTGCTGCTGAAGTTATCATTGACGAGGATGATATGGTTGAGGTGGAGTTAGCTGGCGAGGAGCTCATGGTTCTGGAGTCAACTCTGGAGGAGGAAGAGGTCATGGAGCTGTCTGTGGAGGCCTCTGTGCTGTGTGGTATGGACACAACGGTGGAGGACCCAGCCGACTGGTTCCTGGAGGAGACTGTGTCTTTCCTGCCAACAGAGGAGGAGACTGTTGTGTTCGAGGAGGTAGTGGATGAGGATGCAACAACCAACCACGCTGAAGAGACTGTCTGGTATGGTCCTGAAGAGGTTGAGGTTCCAGCCACTCCAGTCACACCGTATGTTGTTATAGGTAATGATGTAGGTGTTCCTTTGGACTGGGAGGTGATCCCTGCTCCAGTGGTTGAGGTTGCTCCTGTCCCTGAGGCAGCTGGGTGGTTTGCTGGGTGGAGACAGGTGGCTAGAGTGCTAGGCTGCCTTGTTACTTCATACCAAACTGTCTCAGCTGTCTAATTTTTTGGTTAATTTTTGATAAATACATATACATTTTGTATATTTTCTTTAAAAAAAAAATTGGAAAAGTATAAACTTTTGCTTTAGTTTAAAAAAAAAGTTTGGAAAAGTATAAATTTTTGTTTTAGTTTAAAAAAAAATGTTTGGAAAAGCTATTTTTTGAAACTTGAAATTTTTGTTTTGATTTATGGTCATTTAGTTTATTTTTGAAAGATTTTCATTCTTTGCTAACTAACACAATTTCTTCAAAACTTCAAAATGAGTGTTTTAATAATTTTGGCTATTTAATCATTAAAGTTTTATGAAAATATTTTGTTTTAATTTAAATGAAAGTTTTTAATGTTTATTTTACTTAACTTGGAAATTTATAAAGAGTGTGTCTGTCTTTTTGTAACCACTGTTCTATTTATCCAACACATGTTAAACTTTCAGGCTGGACAACTGTCAAAATGGATCACCATAATTATCAGTCCGGTCAAGGTCAATCAGTATAGATATCCAATCATTTCAGGTCAACATTTTCTTTTAAAGTTTGGTCATAGGTTAGAGGTTAAAAGTTCAGGTCAACATTGACAAGAATAGAATGTTCATTACTCCTTTAAAGGGTAGAGGTCTACTAGATTTAAGATCAAACTATTTGTAAGAATGGTTATTTGTAAGGTCAAAGACATGCAGTGTCAGGTCAAGGTCAATGTTTACTTCTACAGAATGATTATATCTGTTAGCAGGATCACAGATATGATTAATTGCTTAAAAGCAACAAGCACATGTAAGAAGCATATTCCTGCTAAACAGCTTTAAATATATGTGTACCTATTTTCACAAAAATAGCTCCCTTCCCCTAGGGTTGACGGGTATAAAAATATGGTCATCCCTTGGTCTTCTTCTGACCGGCAGTAAAACGCTTGCCAAAGATTAGCCACCGTTTAGTTAATACATAGCCACATCCTGTTAAAATTTAAAATTTAAAAGTTGCATGATTAATACCAGAGTAACTTTTAACCCGAAGTGTGACAGACGAACGAACAGACAAACAAAAGAACGGACCAACAAACAGACGACCGGGTTAGACCAGAAAACATAATGTCCATGAATGGGGCATAAAAATCCAGCATAACAGTGCAACATTCCATTTAGCTTTTGAAATTTTGATGAAAAATACAAAATGTTTCCTTTGACTCATTTAAAACATTAAATTGTCACCACCCTTTAGAAAGAAAATGAACATTAAAGTCCCCTACATAAATTTCATAGTTTAAATAAAGGAATTTTTTTCAGCAATTTTCACTAATGGATGAAAGGATAAAATTACCACTTCTGTTTTATAATTCATTGAGAGCATTTATAAAAAGTAGCAGATCAGAAGTAAAACAAAAAAAGAAAATATCACTAATTTCCTATTAAACATCCCAAAAATTTCGCATTTGTTCATTTTAACCTTGACCACTCTTTTAAAATTTAAAAAAATATTAAAAAAGGTTTCTGTATCTTAATTTGGCAGCTTCTGATAAATTAAAGAATACATTTGGTATACATCAATGAGGGATACTTATATAACAAACAACAAAAACAAGGCGTCTTTAGGTCAACATAGTCTTCGACAAAGATAGGCATCTATACAATATGTTTAGTGTTTATAGTTCAAAATTAGTCGACAAAATTTACTAAATATCTATAAAGAAAAAAGTCAACAAAATTTACTAAATATCTTTAAAGAAAAAAGTCGACAAAATTTACTAAATATCTTTAAAGAAAAAAGTCCACAAATTTACTAAATATCTATAAAGAAAAAAGTCGACTAAATTTTACTAAATATCTATAAAGAAAAAAGTCGACAAAATTTACTAAATATCTATAAAGAAAAAAGTCGACAAAATTTACTAAATATCTATAAAGAAAAAAGTCGACAAAATTTACTAAATATCTACAAAGAAAAAAGTCGACTAAATTTTACTAAATATCTATAAAGAAAAAAGTCCACAAAATTTACTAAATATCTATAAAGAAAAAAGTCGACAACATTTACTAAATATCTATAAAGAAAAAAGTCTGACAAAATTTACTAAATATCTGTAAGAAAAAAGTCTGACAAAATTTACTAAATATCTATAAAGAAAAAAGTCGACAAAATTTACTAAATATCTATAAAGAAAAAAGTCCACAAAATTTACTAAATATCTAAAGAAAAAAGTCCACAAAATTTACTTAATATCTATTAAGAAAAAGTCGACTAAATTAACTAAATATCTATAAAGAAAAGAGTAGACAAAATTAACTAAATATCAATAAAAAATAATAATAAAGCAAAATAATTAAAAATTCTTTTTTCTTGCAATTAAATAAGTTTAAAGTTTTTAATTCAGCAAAAGATTTGGGCTTTCAACAACTTGATGTGAATGATATTGCATTATTATAGTGTCTGAGTACAACATTATTACATAACTTGCTGGGTTAAAATTTCTTTTTTTACAAAAATATAAAGTATATCCAAAGTTAACACTGGCAAGTCAAGTATAACAATGTATCTAACACTGCACAATCTGCATAAACCTGCATACCTGCATAGGATAATTAGCATTGCATATATAAATTAACATGTAAAGCTTATGCTGGCTTGCTGATGTTTTCTTTCATTGTTCTATTTAATTAACCCCTAGCCCAATATAGCAACATCTATTTAAAATTGACCTGGGACTTGGATTTTGGGCAGGTAGGGAGGAATAAGGGAAATACCTTGGCCTGGGATTTTAGGGCTTAAAGAAAGGGGAAGGGAAACCCAGGGACTCTGGTGAAGTGGGGAGATAAAAGGAGAGGGGAAACCCAGGGCCTGGTGTATTTGGGGAGATAAAAGAGGGAGAAGGTTACATCCACGGCCTGGTGAACTGGGGGAGATAAAAGAGGGAATGGGGAAAGAGTTGCTGTCCATTGAATGAAGTAAGTTATGTGTTAATGTTGTATTCACATTGTTGTGATGATTTTATTGTTGCTTTGAAGTTTGTGGAGCACAAATACCCCAGTACTTTTGGATAAAAATGATAATGAAAAAATATTCCCGTTTAAACTTTCAGTTTTTAATAAAGATATTCCAGTGTTCAAATTAACCATTAAAGTGGTCTTTCTTAAAGTTGTCAAACAAGAACCAAAGTGTATCTTTTAAACTTTAAAATATCAATTGAACATTTAATTAGAAACCTTTGGTTTAAACATTTATGCGTGTTTCTGAATTCCTTTCATTAAAATTGAGTAAATAAAATCTCACTCTATTTAAACAATTTTGTGTTGTAAAAAAACCACAAAAACATACAATTAAGTACTTGACCTATAGTATAGAAACTTGTTTTTGTTGGAGACTATATTGACCTCTGGGGTCCAGGTTTTTGTGTTGTTTAGTTGCTGTCTCAATAACATAATCCCTAAAGTCATTTTCAATTAATCATAGACAAAGGACAAATTATAAAAAACCCAGAATAACCAAATCCTTCATATTAACTTATAATAACTGTTAAATTTTCCTTCAAATTATATGTTTCACACATCTCCTTCGTTTAGATAAATTTTAAAGTGAAACAGAGAATGCAGGAAGCCAAATATTTAAAATTTAGATTAATTGAAATAGCCTCCCCTCTTAAAAAAAAAATAGAACAAATTTTAACAGAAAAAAGGGGGATGGAAACCTCAAGATACAGAATTAAAATAAAGTGATAAAAAGATCCTCCTTCCTTTTCTAAACTTCTTTTTAAAGTTTTAAATTTGGTAAATTAGATGTTCCCTGAATTTAGAGTATCCATGGGAACATGTCCCATTTTTACCAGCAATTAATATACCCATAGGAACATTACGGTACATGTTCCTCTCCAAAGTAATAAAGGTATCCATTGGAACATCACATGTTCCTCTCCAAAGTAATGAAGGTATCCATAGGAACATCACATGTTCCTCTCCAAAGTAATGAAGGTATCCATTGGAACATCACGTTCCCCTCAAAAGTAATAAAGGTATCCATAAGAACATCACATGTTCCCGTCCAAAGTAATTAAGGTATCCATAGGAACATCACATGTTCCCGTCCAAAGTAATAAAGGTATCCATTGGAACATCACATGTTCCTGTCCAAAGTAATGAAGGTATCTATAGGAACATCACATGTTCCGCTCCAAAGTAATAAAGGTATCCATAGGAACATCACATGTTCCGCTCAAAAGTAATGAAGGTATCCATAGGAACATCACATGTTCCGCTCAAAAGTAATGAAGGTATCCATAGGAACATCACATGTTCCTCTCAAAAGTAATGAAGGTATCCATAGGAACATCACATGTTCCTCTCCAAAGTAATGAAGGTATCCATAGGAACATCACATGTTCCTCTCCAAAGTAATGAAGGTATCCATTGGAACATCACATGTTCCTCTCCAAAGTAATGAAGGTATCCATAGGAACATCACATGTTCCTCTCCAAAGTAATGAAGGTATCCATAGGAACATCACATGTTCCTCTCCAAAGTAATGAAGGTATCCATAGGAACATCACATGTTCCTCTCCAAGGTAATGAAGGTATCCATAGGAACATCACATGTTCCTCTCCAAAGTAATAAAGGTATCCATAGGAACATCACATGTTCCTCTCCAAAGTAATGAAGGTATCCATAGGAACACCACATGTTCCTCTCCAAAGAAATAAAGGTATCCATAGGAACATCACATGTTCCTCTCCAAAGTAATGAAGGTATCCACAGTAACATCCCATGTGTCTTACCAATGTAAATAAGGTATCCATAGGAACATGGGAGCCTCGGTGGCCAAGTGGTCTAAGTAGTTATAACTGTAATCACTAGCCAGTTAACACTGAGGTTGTGAATTCAAACCCCGCTCGTGCGGGTGCACATGACTCCAATCTTAATTGACTTAGGGTTGTCAGTTTTCCTATTGAAGGTCAGTGGTTTTCTCCAGGCACTCTGGCTTCCTCCACCAATACAAACTGGCTGCCATGAAATAGCCAAAGTAGTGCTTAAAAGTGGCGTTAAAACACCAAAAAATCAAATTCAAATCCATAGGTGCACTGCATGCTCCAAATTTACTGGTATCTGATATCCATTGGAATCCAAATTTAGTTGTTCAGTTTGTATTGATGACAGAATTGGCTTTACAATGAACTTTGAACTCAAAGAAATGGATACACATGTTTCAGAAAAATAAGTTTGGTACCTATATCTCTTTTCACACTTTTGTTGTTTTTAAATAATTTGTAAATTTTATTGTAAATGTAACATATTTAAGTTGTCAAATTTTTGTGTAAAAAGGGGAATGACCATTTCAAAACTGTTTTTCAATATTTTTGTTAAAGATTTTCAGAAGGAAACAGAAAAATTATTTATAAAAATGTGGATAGTGTCAAATGTGTATATAGTTTTAAGAAAAATAGAAAAAAAAACAAAAAAATGCATGGGTGATGGTTTTTAATGATTTTAAGAAAAATAGAAAAAAAAAAAAAAAAAAAATATGCATGGGTGATGGTTTTTAATGATTTTAAGAAAAATAGAAAAAAAAAAAAAAAAAAAAAATATGCATGGGTGATGGTTTTGAATGATTTTAAGAAAAATAGAAAAAAAAAAAAAAAAAAAATATGCATGGGTGATGGTTTTTAATGATTTTAAGAAAAATAGAAAAAAAAAAGAAAAAAAATGCTTGGGGTTTAATTATATCGTGATGCAGAAATGGGTCCATTATTTTATCTTGAATTTGGGATTTAATTATATCATGATATGGAATGGATACATTCTTTTAACTTGAATTTGGGATTTAATTATATCATGATACGGAATGGATACTTTCTTTTAACTGGAATTTGGGGGATTTAATAATATCATGATACAGAATGGATACATTCTTTTAACTGGAATTTGGGATTTAATTATATCATGATACGGAATGGATACATTCTTTTAATTTGAATTTGGGGGATTTAATCATATCATGAAACAGAATGGATACATTCTTTTTACTTAAATTTGGGATTTAACTATATCATGATACGGAATGGATACATTCTTTTAACTGGAATTTGGGATTTAATTATATCATGATACGAAATGGATACATTCTTTTAACATTTTTAACTGGAATTTGGGATTTAATCATATCATGAAACAGAATGGATACATTCTTTTTACTTGAATTTGGGATTTAATTATATCATGATACGGAATGGATACATTCTTTTAACTTGAATTTGGGATTTAATTATATCATGATACGGAATGGATACATTCTTTTAATTTGAATTTGGGGGATTTAATCATATCATGAAACAGAATGGATACATTCTTTTTACTTGAATTTGGGATTTAATTATATCATGATACGGAATGGATACATTCTTTTAACTGGAATTTGGGATTTAATTATATCATGATACGGAATGGATACATTCTTTAAAAATAGAGAAAAAAAAAAAAAAAAATATGCATGGGTGATGGTTTTTAATGATTTTAAGAAAAATAGAAAAAAAAAAGAAAAAAAATGCTTGGGGTTTAATTATATCGTGATGCAGAAATGGGTCCATTATTTTATCTTGAATTTGGGATTTAATTATATCATGATATGGAATAGATACATTCTTTTAACTTGAATTTGGGATTTAATTATATCATGATACGGAATGGATACATTCTTTTAACTGGAATTTGGGGGATTTAATAATATCATGATACAGAATGGATACATTCTTTTAACTTGAATTTGGGATTTAATTATATCATGATACGGAATGGATACATTCTTTTAATTTGAATTTGGGGGATTTAATCATATCATGAAACAGAATGGATACATTCTTTTTACTTGAATTTGGGATTTAATTATATCATGATACGGAATGGATACATTCTTTTAACTTGTATTTGGGATTTAATTATATCATGATACGGAATGGATACATTCTTTTAACTGGAATTTGGGATTTAATTATATCATTATACGGAATGGATACATTCTTTTAACTGGAATTTGGGATTTAATCATATCATGAAACAGAATGGATACATTCTTTTTACTTGAATTTGGGATTTAATTATATCATGATACGGAATGGATACATTCTTTTAACTGGAATTTGGGATTTAATTATATCATGATACGGAATGGATACATTCTTTTAACTGGAATTTGGGGGATTTAATAATATCATGATACAGAATGGATACATTCTTTTAACTTGAATTTGGGATTTAATTATATCATGATACGGAATGGATACATTCTTTTAATTTGAATTTGGAATTTAATTATATCATGATACGGAATGGATACATTCTTTTAACTTGAATTTGGGATTTAATTATATCATGATACAGAATGGATACATTCTTTTAATTTGAATTTCGGGGATTTAATCATATCATGAAACAGAATGGATACATTCTTTTTACTTGAATTTGGGATTTAATTATATCATGATACGGAATGGATACATTCTTTTAACTGGAATTTGGGATTTAATTATATCATGATACGGAATGGATACATTCTTTTAACTGGAATTTGGGATTTAATCATATCATGAAACAGAATGGATACATTCTTTTAACTGGAATTTGGGATTTAATTATATCATGATACAGAATGGATACATTCTTTTAACTGGAATTTGGGGGATTTAATTATATCATGAAACAGAATGGATACATTCTTTTTACTTGAATTTGGGATTTAATTATATCATGATACGGAATGGATACATTCTTTTAATTTGAATTTGGGGGATTTAATCATATCATGATACGGAATGGATACATTCTTTTAAAAATAGAAAAAAAAAAAAAAAAAGAAATATGCATGGGTGATGGTTTTAAATGATTTTAAGAAAAATAGAAAAAAAAAGAAAAAAAAAATGCTTGGGGTTTAATTATATCGTGATGCAGAAATGGGTCCATTATTTTATCTTGAATTTGGGATTTAATTATATCATGATATGGAATGGATACATTCTTTTAACTTGAATTTGGGATTTAATTATATCATGATACCGAATGGATACATTCTTTTAACTGGAATTTGGGGGATTTAATAATATGATACAGAATGGATACATTCTTTTAACTTGAATTTGGGATTTAATTATATCATGATACGGAATGGATACATTCTTTTAATTTGAATTTGGGGGATTTAATCATATCATGAAACAGAATGGATACATTCTTTTAACTGGAATTTGGGATTTAATTATATCATGATACGGAATGGATACATTCTTTTAACTGGAATTTGGGATTTAATTATATCATGATACGGAATGGATACATTCTTTTAACTGGAATTTGGGATTTAATCATATCATGAAACAGAATGGATACATTCTTTTTACTTGAATTTGGGATTTAATTATATCATGATACGGAAATGATACATTCTTTTAACTGGAATTTGGGATTTAATCATATCATGAAACAGAATGGATACATTCTTTTAACTGGAATTTGGGATTTAATTATATCATGATACGGAATGGATACATTCTTTTAACTGGAATTTGGGATTTAATTATATCATGATACGGAATGGATACATTCTTTTAACTGGAATTTGGGATTTAATCATATCATGAAACAGAATGGATACATTCTTTTTACTTGAATTTGGGATTTAATTATATCATGATACGGAATGGATACATTCTTTTAACTGGAATTTGGGATTTAATTATATCATGATACGGAAATGATACATTCTTTTAACTGGAATTTGGGATTTAATCATATCATGAAACAGAATGGATACATTCTTTTTACTTGAATTTGGGATTTAATTATATCATGATACGGAATGGATACATTCTTTTAACTTGAATTTGGGATTTAATTATATCATGATACGGAATGGATACATTCTTTTAATTTGAATTTGGGGGATTTAATCATATCATGAAACAGAATGGATACATTCTTTTTACTTGAAATTGGGATTTAATTATATCATGATACGGAATGGATACATTCTTTTAACTGGAATTTGGGATTTAATTATATCATGATACGGAATTGATACATTCTTTTAACTGGAATTTGGGATTTAATCATATCATGAAACAGAATGGATACATTCTTTTTACTTGAATTTGGGATTTAATTATATCATGATACGGAATGGATACATTCTTTTAACTTGAATTTGGGATTTAATTATATCATGATACGGAATGGATACATTCTTTTAATTTGAATTTGGGGGATTTAATCATATCATGAAACAGAATGGATACATTCTTTTTACTTGAATTTGGGATTTAATTATATCATGATACGGAATGGATACATTCTTTTAACTTGTATTTGGGATTTAATTATATCATGATACGGAATGGATACATTCTTTTAACTGGAATTTGGGATTTAATTATATCATTATACGGAATGGATACATTCTTTTAACTGGAATTTGGGATTTAATCATATCATGAAACAGAATGGATACATTATTTTTACTTGAATTTGGGATTTAATTATATCATGATACGGAATGGATACATTCTTTTAACTGGAATTTGGGATTTAATTATATCATGATACGAAATGGATACATTCTTTTAACGGGAATTTGGGGGATTTAATAATATCATGATACAGAATGGATACATTCTTTTAACTTGAATTTGGGATTTAATTATATCATGATACGGAATGGATACATTCTTTTAATTTGAATCTGGGGGATTTAATCATATCATGAAACAGAATGGATACATTCTTTTTACTTGAATTTGGGATTTAATTATATCATGATACGGAATGGAACATTCTTTTAACTGGAATTTGGGATTCAATTATATCATGATACGGAATGGATACATTCTTTTAACTGGAATTTGGGATTTAATCATATCATGAAACAGAATGGATACATTCTTTTAACTGGAATTTGGGGGATTTAATTATATCATGAAACAGAATGGATACATTCTTTTTACTTGAATTTGGGATTTAATTATATCATGATACGGAATGGATACATTCTTTTAATTTGAATTTGGGGGATTTAATCATATCATGATACGGAATGGATACATTCTTTTAAAAATAGAAAAAAAAAAAAAAAAAGAAAGAAAATGCTTGGGGTTTAATTATATCGTGATGCAGAAATGGGTCCATTATTTTATCTTGAATTTGGGATTTAATTATATCATGATATGGAATGGATACATTCTTTTAACTTGAATTTGGGATTTGATTATATCATGATACGGAATGGATACATTCTTTTAACTGGAATTTGGGGGATTTAATAATATCATGATACAGAATGGATACATTCTTTTAACTTGAATTTGGGATTTAATTATATCATGATACGGAATGGATACATTCTTTTAATTTGAATTTGGGGGATTTAATCATATCATGAAACAGAATGGATACATTCTTTTTACTGAAATTTGGGATTTAATTATGTCATGATACGGAATGGATACATTCTTTTAACTGGAATTTGGGATTTAATTATATCATGATACGGAATGGATACATTCTTTTAACTGGAATTTGGGATTTAATCATATCATGAAACAGAATGGATACATTCTTTTTACTTGAATTTGGGATTTAATTATATCATGATACGGAATGGATACATTCTTTTAACTGGAATTTGGGATTTAATTATATCATGATACGGAAATGATACATTCTTTTAACTGGAATTTGGGATTTAATCATATCATGAAACAGAATGGATACATTCTTTTTACTTGAATTTGGGATTTAATTATATCATGATACGGAATGGATACATTCTTTTAACTTGAATTTGGGATTTAATTATATCATGATACGGAATGGATACATTCTTTTAATTTGAATTTGGGGGATTTAATCATATCATGAAACAGAATGGATACATTCTTTTTACTTGAAATTGGGATTTAATTATATCATGATACGGAATGGATACATTCTTTTAACTGGAATTTGGGATTTAATTATATCATGATACGGAATGGATACATTCTTTTAACTGGAATTTGGGATTTAATCATATCATGAAACAGAATGGATACATTCTTTTTACTTGAATTTGGGATTTAATTATATCATGATACGGAATGGATACATTCTTTTAACTTGAATTTGGGATTTAATTATATCATGATACGGAATGGATACATTCTTTTAATTTGAATTTGGGGGATTTAATCATATCATGAAACAGAATGGATACATTCTTTTTACTTGAATTTGGGATTTAATTATATCATGATACGGAATGGATACATTCTTTTAACTTGTATTTGGGATTTAATTATATCATGATACGGAATGGATACATTCTTTTAACTGGAATTTGGGATTTAATTATATCATTATACGGAATGGATACATTCTTTTAACTGGAATTTGGGATTTAATTATATCATGATACGGAATGGATACATTCTTTTAACTGGAATTTGGGATTTAATCATATCATGAAACAGAATGGATACATTCTTTTAACTTGAATTTGGGATTTAATTATATCATGATACGGAATGGATACATTCTTTTAATTTGAATTTGGGGGATTTAATCATATCATGAAACAGAATGGATACATTCTTTTTACTTGAATTTGGGATTTAATTATATCATGATACGGAATGGATACATTCTTTTAACTGGAATTTGGGATTTAATTATATCATGATACGGAATGGATACATTCTTTTAACTGGAATTTGGGGGATTTAATTATATCATGAAACAGAATGGATACATTCTTTTTACTTGAATTTGGGTTTTAATTATATCATGATACAGAATGGATACATTCTTTAAACTGAATTTGGGATTTAATAATATCATGATACGGAATGGATACATTCTTTTAACTGTAATTTGGGGGATTAAAATAAACCCTTTAAAAAAGTGGAGGTATACTGTTTTACCTCTGTCTGTCTGTCCATCATTCAGTTGGTCAGCATCAACAATACAAGGATTTCTGAAATTTGGTTCAGTGTTGATAAAATGCAGCTATACTGTGGGATGCATTTTCAGATTCATCACTCAACAACTTCCTGTTAACCAAACACTTGTATCATTTACACATGATAGCTAAGGTGGAAATTTTCGTCACCTTTTTATCAGGAACTTCAATACAAGGATTTCTGAAATTTGGTTTCAGGGCTAATAAAAGTCAGCTATACTGTGTGAGGCGTTTTTGGATTCCCAACTCAACAACTTCCTGCGTACTGAAGTATTTGTTGGGGGGTATCCTCAGTGGGCAGTAGCTCACAGTTTCACTTGTTTTACCATGATACGGAATGGATACATTCTTTTAACTGGAATTTTGGATTTAATTATATCATGATACGAAATGGATACATTCTTTTAACTGGAATTTGGAGGATTTAATTATATCATGAAACAGAATGGATACATTCTTTTTACTTGAATTTTGGATTTAATTATATCATGATACGGAATGGATACATTCTTTTAACTGGAATTTGGAGGATTTAATTATATCATGAAACAGAATCATTACATTCTTTTTACTTGAATTTTGGATTTAATTATATCATGATATGGAATGGATACATTCTTTTAACTGGAATTTGGGATTTAATTATATCATGATACGGAATGGATACATTCTTTTAACTGGAATTTGGAGGATTTAATTATATCATGATACGGAATGGATACATTCTTTTAACTTGAATTTTGGATTTAATTATATCATGATACGGAATGGATACATTCTTTTAACTGGAATTTGGAGGATTTAATTATATCATGATACGGAATGGATACATTCTTTTAACTTGAATTTTGGATTTAATTATATCATGATACAGAATGGATACATTCTTTTAACTGGAATTTGGAGGATTTAATTATATCATGATACGGAATGGATACATTCTTTTAACTTGAATTTTGGATTTAATTATATCATGATACGGAATGGATACATTCTTTTAACTGGAATTTGGAGGATTTAATTATATCATGATACGGAATGGATACATTCTTTTAACTGGAATTTTGGATTTAATTATATCATGATACGGAATGGATACATTCTTTTAACTGGAATTAAATATAATTAAGAGTATACATTTTTATTTCTGAGGATTCTTTTGATATATGTAAGTGAACATCAACCAACAACACAAACAAAAAAAACGTCAAAAGATTAGTTAATACATTTTAAATAAAGATAAATAATGTTAATACCTTTTGTCCTTCATTTGGAAATTTCAAGATAAAATAATATGGAAATTTATAAATGAAAAGGAATAATGATATATTCCCTTTACATTTTAATAAAACCATAATTCATGTCTGATGTTAAAGATAAAGTTAAAAAATGGTGAAATAATTTTTCAAATTTTCAAATTTTAGATCAAATTGCCCTTAAAAATCAGACGTAGAACATATATGTATTAGCTATTCCGAAACCATTTTACAGATTTTTAAAGGAACTTTCAGAACAGAACATTTAAGATACCAATTTCGTAATGCAAGGTTTATCAGTATAATTTTGGGAATTTCCCAAAGTAAAGGATGTTAGTCTGAGAAAGATCTCCAACCCTTCCGGGATACATTATTCTGACTCAGAGTCAACTAGACTTTGCTCTTACTTTTAAATACTACTTGCTTAAGGGAGAAGCAGCAAATACCCCTTTTAAAGTCTTTGGTTTGTCCATACATGGGATAGAGCCCTTTACCTCCAACACATCAGGCAAGCACAGGACCATTGAGGAGGTTATAATTGGTAGTGAAAAGTATTCTTTTTAAAATATTCATATTCATTTTATTTTTGTTTATTTGAAAATGAACTGTTACTCATTCTGTTGTTCAATTCCTAGTAGTAACAGAAAACATAAATTTTTATATTTGGTTTAAAAATATTTAATTGAAAAGTATGTCTCCATGCAAAATTATCCATCCCTCTACAGGTTGTATCTTAATATAAAAAAACATCTTATTCTTTAAAGTATCAACACTAACCATTACTAACAATTGGTACTTAATTAAATAGGTTGGAAGGATGGAAGACAAGAGAGGGAGAGAAATGAGAGGGGAGGGGATAGGGGAGAGAGAATAGAGACTGATGGAGTGAGTTTTCAGATAAGGGTTTAAGGTACTAGTCTTGTAGAGGGATAGGTTTTTAATATCTTCTTTTATAAAGAGAACTTCTTGTTAACAATATCAATATGAGTAGGAATACAAACCAATTTTTATTTTTGGTAATTGCAAATCCAGTCTGAAAGTCTTTGTTTTAAAATAATGGGTCTATTACATTTCAAAATTATTTCCAAGTCTGTAAAATTTTTGAGACCCCAGTGGCCGATCCAGGGGTTGGGGTTGGAACCCCCCCCCCTTTTTTTTTTTAATGATAATGCATTTGAATGGGGACATATATTTAAAACCTGCATTTTCTCCTGGGTTGGATCCCCCTTTTTTTTTAAAGATTGCTGGTTCCTCCCCTGGACCCTTTCTCCCTTCCTATTTGGTAAAGACATATAAGATTGTGTCCATTGTACACGGATGCCCCATCCGCACTATCATATTCTATGTTCAGTGGACTTTGAAAATGGAGGAAAAAACTCTTATTTGGCATTAAAATTAGAAAGATGATATCATAGGGAAGTGTACAAAGTTTCAAGTTGATTGGACTTCATCAAAAACTACCTCATCCAAAAAATTTTACCTGAAGCAGGACGAACGAACGGAGGCACAGACCAGAAAACATAATGCCCATAAATGAGGCATAATAAATGTTTGCATTGGAAACTCCCTTAATAATTTGTATAACAACAGCCAGTCTAGCCTGTCATAATTCAGTAACTACAAGCTATTTATCTATTCTGGAAAGATATGACTGTTTCAACGCCACTTGTAGTACTCCTGGCTATTACAAGGCTGCCAGTTTTTATTGGCGGAAGCCATATAAATGGCACCTGAAAAAACACAGACCTTCAGTGTCTTTTAATGTTGTCCAAAGTTTCTGTTGAAATGTTTGTACTGGTTTGAGGTATTGCTGATTAAAAGTGTAGATGTCTGAATAAACAAAAAACATCCTTTATCATGTTTTAGATTAAAAAGTAATTATATCCAAATTTCCAATTTAGTTTCAGCACAAACGTTAAAGATAATTGTTGCAGAAGCCCTTTTTATTTAAAGGAAACAATATAAGATTTTAAATTTTGAATCTTCCAAAATAAATCTTTTCAGTTTTGTAAAGTGGTACATTGTGAAATTTATAATTAAAAAAACAAATCTTTTCTAATAATAAGGGACATAACTCTCCAATGGTAAAAAAATACTAAACCCATCAAAATAATGTAAATGCTTAAAGCAGCTTTCAGATTTGTTAGTTTGTAAATACAAAATTAGCCTCCTCCTGGCCAAATGAAACTTAATTAACTTTGTAATAGAATTTTCCATGCCAAAAACACTTTTATTGGATAAAAAATATGAAGTAAAAACAGTGACCTTTATAATCTTAAGCTTTTTTGGTACGAGAAAAAAAATTATCAGATACTTATTATTTGGCCACAACATTTAATAATTTTTTAAACACCTATTATCACAGAATATAATTTTTGCCATCTTAATTATATTGTTAAGTGTGTTGTTGGCATGCTGTCTCATTGAAATATACCTCAGATCCTCTTTTATCTTATTCAAGATTTTCAGAAAAGCAATTTAAAAATCTGTTAAAGGTTTATTCTCTAAATAAATAGAATAATTGGTCCAGTGATCAATGGAGAATGTAAATGAGATGTGGTAAAAATGCCAATGAGATGTGCTTAGAATGCCAATGAGATGTGCTTAGAATGCCAATGAGATGTGTTAATACAACTAATGAGATGCGCTAAGAATGCAAATGAAATGTGGTAAAAATGCCAATGAGATAAAGCTAAAGATATGTTGTAATAATGCTAATGAGATGTGGTAATAAAGCTGATGAGATGCGCTAAGAATGCAAATGAGATGTGGCTATAAAGCTGATGAGATGTGCTAAGAATGCAAATGAGATGTGGTAATAGAGCTAATGAGATGCGCTAAGAATGCAAATGAGATGTGGTTATAAAGCTAAAGATATGTGGTAATAACGCTAATGAGATGTGGTAATAAAGCTAATGAGATTTGGTTATGAAGCTGATGAGATGCGCTAAGAATGCAAATGAGATGTGGTAATAGAGCTAATGATATGTGCTAAGAAAGCTAATGAGATGTGGTAATAAAGCTAATGAGATGTGGTAGTAAAGCTAATGAGATGTGGTAATAATGCTAATGAGATGTGGTTATAAAGCTAAAGATATGTTGTAACAATGCTAATGAGATGTGGTAATAAAGCTAATGAGATGTGGTTATAAAGCTGATGAGATGCGCTAAGAATGCAAATGAGATGTGGTTATAAAGCTGATGAGATGCGCTAAGAATGCAAATGAGATGTGGTAATGGAGCTAATGAGATGCTCTAAGAATGCAAATTAGATGTGGTAATAGAGCTAATGATATGTGCTAAGAAAGCTAATGAGATGTGGTAATAAAGCTAATGAGATGTGGTAGTAAAGCTAATGAGATGTGGTAATAAAGCTAATGAGATGTGGTAATAATGCTAATGAGATGCGCTAAGAATACTAATGAGATGTGGTAATAATGCCAATGAGATGTGGTTAGAATTCCAATGAGATGTGGTTAGAATGCCAATGAGATTTAGTAAGAATGCCAATGAGATTTAGTAAGAATGCCAATGAGAACTATCCACCAAAGATTGAGCCACAAGGCTGCAAAAACTATCTTTCTTTCATGTGAATTTTGTGTATACTTTGTATACTTTGTAAGCTCCCTAACAGCTGATAGTTAACATTTTCATCAAATTATGATTTAAATTATCCTTTCTTTAAATAAAATTATTTGGTAATTAAACTTTTTTAAATGAACATTGAAAAAGCTTCTAAATTTTCTGAAAAAATTACATTAAATAGGCACTTTTGAATTTTTTGCCTATTTAAAAAAAATATACCAGTAATGGCACAAGGATAGAAGATGTGTGGAATCAAATAGGTAACAACTATAGTGATAATGAAATATTCTAATAATAACCAGTTTTTTAATGTCTTGACTTAATGGACTTATTGTATGATGATATATGCGACCAGTTAGAATAGTGGACAATGAAATATTCAAACATGGAACAGACTGAAGTTAATAGACTTAAAATTCAAAATTGAAACCAGCAAGTGAATTATTGACATTTATTTTGATGTGACCAGTATTCATGTGGATGGACAGTACTAGTGGACTATAAACTGATAAATCTCACAGAAAGGCACATCACAACTGAGTCTGAAGCTGTTACATACAAAAGACAAGGTAATTATACTAAAAAAAAACATGGCAACATTACTCTGATTAAATGTTGCAATTAACCTTATAGCTCTTATTTTATTTTTGGTGTGTTAATTCACTGTGTTTTCAGAAAAGCTATCAAGATAAATGCATAAAGCCAAAGGTCTTCATTAATATATTCTGATAAAGTGTACAACCAAATTTTTTTACACCAGTAGTTTTTGCATTGGAGCAATAAAAAAAAAATTCATCCAGAAAATAGATTTAGTAATACAAACCCCACCACAATGAAGGATATATACACTCCCGTTTGAATGGTTTTACACTAGCTAGTTATTTTTTGGGGCCCTTTATAGCTTACTGTTCGGTGTGAGCCAAGGCTCCGTGTTGAAGACCGTACTGTGACCTATAATGGTTTACTTTTATAAATTTTGACTTGGATGGAGAGTTGTCTCATTGGCACTCATACCACATCTTCTTATATCTACTTACTTGCTCTGAATAGAAAATAAAGGATAAGCAGCTTTGACTCCACTGGTAGCGACTGTTGTGAAAAACTACTCATTACAAGTCAAAAATTGACTTGTAACATTAAAATCATGCATAACCTTAAAAGAAATAAAAACCTGAAACAGTACTTTTAAGTTTGCACAGCCCAGTAAAGTACTTAGTGGAAAATTGTCCTACTTTGACTTATAATTAAAATTCCATATAAGCATTTTTAAGGATGTACTTAGGTGATATAAGGTAAAAATTAATAAATCAAACATTTAAAATTGATACTTTAAGCTGAAAGAGTATTAGTTAAGGATCAAAATAAACTAAAAATATTGATAGGTCATGCAGCTCCTTTTCGAGATATTTGATTTATAAAATATGGCAGGAAAAGGCTGGCTCAGACTTTTACCTTACATTTGCATGGGTATAATTTGGGTCTCAAATAAAAAGAAAAAAAATCAAGAATCTGCTTAAATTTTGTTAAATGACCTTTTATGAGCTATTATAAGTCTTATATGAAGAAAAAAAATGGGTGTTATGGGGCAAAATATTTTACCTTGTATCGTATCAAAAAAACACCAAGGAGTCCGAACATTTAACACATTCCAAAACCTCACCTAAGTACATCCTTTAGGATATGACTGTACATGATTTTTTCTTCTTCAGATATCCAGGAAATAAGAATTGTATGTGATCTATTTAAAGATCTTAGGACAGTAGGACCTGGAAGTACTTTATTACCAACTTCAAGGTAAGTTTACAGTAAAAACAAAATGGTTATAAAATATTGCTCCTGCAATTATACAATGGAAACTTGATTATCATCATACCTTTTTTATCCATAATACTGTTAATATAAAAAAAGAGAGAAGATGTGGTATGATTGCCAATGAGACAACTCTCCACAAGAAACCAAAATGACACAGAAATTAACAACTATAGGTCACCGTACAGCCTTCAACAATGAGCAAAGCCCTGAGCCACACAGTCTTGACCAAAATATTTGAAAGTTTGAAATTTTGATAAGAAACATTGATACTAGCAAGTTTAAATACTCTCGTTTCTCAGTTATATGTTATGTTTAATGCTTATAAATGTGATGCAAAAATTATAATGGCATGGTAACTTTCCTTTAAGGTGGTATGGGAGAATCTAAATTAAAAATGATAGAATTTGTTAATACTTTGCCAAAGCGTAGTAAATATTAAAATATGTTCAAAAATATTATAAAAACGTATGGTCACAGCACATTTGATCAAGCTTCAGGTTGTTACAAAATGACATATTGTGTATGGATTATACAGGAAAAAACATTATTATGTGATTAGAATCTAAACTAAATGATAGAATTGTAAAATAGGATACGAAAAGTTAGCTTTTAGAAAATGCTTTGAGAATATCAAAAGAAAAGATAGGGTCACAGTGCGTTTTATCTGGCTTAAATTCAAAATAGCAAAATTCCAAGTAGATTCCTTCAGAAAATGCACTATTTCAGAGTTACTTCACTTAAAATGCCAATTTGAAATCATTAAAATTCAAGCAGAAATAATCTTGTAAAAATATTAATATTTATGAGTTATAATCTTATAAATTTGTTCTTTGAAATGCAAATTCACATAAGTTATCTACATTTCTGCATCTAATTTTGCTAACTTGATTGAAAATCTGGACCTTAGATTCTCTGTTTTTTACAATCCAAGATCGCAAAAGACAACCATACCACCTTAAGCATGTTCAAAATATGCATGATATATTGATCACTGGACATTAAGCATGCAACAATCAATCAATCAATCCTATACATGTATGTATATATGGTATGAATCACTTCTGACATATCAAGAATTAAAAATGTTATTTTGTCAATTTAATTGCCATGCTTTAATTGACATTTTGTTGTTTCTTTGTAGATTAACTGAGCTTGAGAAATTACAAATCAACTGATACAGAAGAAGAGACTTTGCCATGTGGATGAACTTGGAAACAATTATTGACAAACAATATAGTGTATTAGTATTCTTGTAAAAATCAAGAGAGAGAGAGAGAGAGAGAGAGAGAGAGAGAGAGAGAGAGAGTCAGTTGTAAAGATTTATGTCTTTTTAACCAGACATGTCGATTACATTAGAATTTCAGAGGCCTACAGTTCTCCCTTAAATGATCATAGTTAATACATGAAGTAGTTAAAGTAGAGGACTTTAGTGTGACCAGTGAAAACAATCAGGCAGCTGCCATTGGTTTAAATCTCTTTTTTCGAAGATGTTTTGGTTACATTAGAATAAATCTGTGAGGAATGACAAAAAAAATGCAAAAAAAATAATTTGTGGTATTTTGTACAGTTTCATTATGCAATCTTGAATACATTTATGATTACTATTTATAATGAAGTATTATCATTAGAATGAGGATGGAAAATGTTTAAACATTTATTTGAGACAGAGTTTTGCATTATTTCATTAAAATTATTAAATTCTTTTTGTGTGAATGAAGGACAAACAGGGAAAACAGAAGCTATTCTATGAATTTCAAATTGTATTTATTTACATTTGATTAATTAGTTGAAGATTAACTACACGTATTCAGCATAGTACAAAATTAAGGATGCACTGCAACTGTATATTATCTTTATAGTTATCATCACACTATGTCCAATCTAGATGTACAACACTCTTTTTTATAGTGTTCTGTAAATTATCAGGAACACCAGTTGTGATGAATGGGAAGACTGGCAGGCTGAGAAATGGGTATAAGGGGAGGGAATACCCCTGCTTATCTTTTCATACTGGTTAGTTCCCTGGTAAAGGTTTTGTACAAATGTTGTTCATATCAGATGTATACGATTTGAAGAGAGTTGTTATTTGGAGCTCTGTAAAAAAAAAAAGAAAAAGAAAAAGAAAAAAAAAAAATTGTAATCAGATCGAGTTCTAGATAATAACTGGGTGGTATGAAATGTGGGTTAAATATTTTCGGTATATTTACAATGATTTTTTTTTTTTATTTATGCATCTGATATTTTTTGTGTATAAAATGTTTTGTTATTTTTTACAGAATTGCTTTAGTTGCCTTCCTGACTGACATTTATTGGTGAATGGAGAGACTAGCAGGCTGAGATTGAGGCGTAAGGGGAGGGATTACCCCTGCTTTTCTCTTCATACTTGTAAATTCTGTCACTGCACGGAAGGTCAACAATTAAGAATATATAAGATATCATTTTTTTATGAATCAATGTAAGTTTGATAAGTTATATCAGATGTATATAAAGTAAGATAAAAGTATTCTTTAGAGCTCTGTAAAAAAAAAAAAGCTTGTAAACAGAGGTCTAGATAATGCATTAAGGGGTTTGGTTTGGCATGGGGATTTCAAATTTTATTTACAAGTCATCATCTACAAAAATGCATCTGATATTATTTGCCCCAAGCCCAATTTCGTGTCCCAAATATAATGACTACAGAATAATGGTGACAGCTTGGTCAACACCCTTATTTTAAGTTTGATTCACCCCTCCTTTCGTCGCCCACCCCACCCCACCCCCACCCTTTTAATAAGTAGTTATAGGTTAAGGTTTCTTATTGGGATTAATGATTGATTGATTGATTTTAATTAAGTGTCACAGAATTATTAAGATAATAATTTCTGTGTAACAAGATTAATCTCCAATATTTGAAGGTGTTTTTGATCAAGTTTTATTAAACTCAAAATGTTTAGTATTTCATCAGCTCTGTCGAATACAAAATAAAAATTTACCTCTATAGATATATCTGCATTTTATATGCTACGAAATTTTGCCTATTTTACAAAGATTTATCTAACAAAATGAAAAACCCTGTCCATGAAACTGATTTAATTGAACTTTCACACTGCTGTTGATAATAACCCCTGTTTTTTCATGACAATTTTACATGTGGTAATCTCGATGTAATATATAGTTCTTCCACTAACAACCCTGTTTGTTCATGACAATTGTACTCTTGAAATATCTGTTACAATTACACACACACCCATGCTTTTTCCCTATAGGGTTTTTTAATGCAGGGTGCATGTTTTTCTATGTTACCATATGTTTGTCTCTCTTTTTAATAAAGAACAATTACATAGAAATGTTTCTGTTTGTTGAAAAATTGAAAGGTCCTTATTTAGTTCCTCTTCAAAGGTATGAGTTTGTTACAAATATCTTGACCCTAGCATAATTCATCAATTTTGATGACCGACTATGTCCTTGAGGCTAGGTCAGACATAAAAACTGGTATTTGCAGCTTCAATGCCAAGGACACAATCCATTTAGAAGAAGTACTTGTCTGTCATATTTGTTTTTCATAAATTATTTGGTTATAAATTAGTCTGCTAATTCTTGTTTGAATCATCTCCCCGTGTTTTGTCCTAGGGATTATATAGAAAACTTCCTGGTATACAGTATTGATTTTGCTCATTGTTGAAGGCTGTACAGCAACATTTAGCTGCTTATAATTAGCCTCATTTGAACTTTGGAGCACCTATAGACTAGTTGTCTCATCAGCAATCCTACCACATCTTATTTTATAGACTGGTTGGCTGGAGTCTGAATATTAATTAAGGGTATGTTGATCTAGTTTGAGGTTAAAATGTGGAAAGCCACAGCTCAAAAATGGAAGTGAAAGGTTTTTTGGGGAACTTCAAGGAATTATGCTGCAATTTAATCTGTATTTGGATTCATTGGCTAGTGGTAGTACGTTAGAGAACCACAACCTTCGACAGGAAAACTGACAATTATAGTCCATTAAGATGAGTCAAGTGCACTTGCCACATGCAGGGTTCGAACTTACAACCTCTGTGTTGAAAGGCTAGTGATACAGTAGTTTTAACTACTCCGACAACAACGCCACCAAGGCCTCAGCTAAATTTGGATATATGTTATTTAATGAGAAAGATCCTATCAAATATGATGTCTTAAGTTCAAGGTCACATATACGAAAACAAACTAAAAGCAGTGCAGAAGCAGTGTTTTCGCACATAGAACCTTGCTAGGAAGTAAACTTATATATGGTAAATCAATACATGGAAGACCCCAAATAATTTGTTAGTCCACATATAAAGGGTAATTCATTTCAGGACGGTATCTTTGGAACATTTCACAACAATTGAGACTATTTTTGTGGTATGATTTCAACAATAGTTTACGTATTATATAAAATGCTATTCTGAATTATTCCATATATCAAAAAAAAAACGAATGATTCCCAATTATTGGAGAGCCAACACATGAAACAGCTATGCTTAGATTACATGTATAAGTTTGCTAATAAGTCAATTCAAGGAGAACCACAATTGGTAGGTCAGTGGTATTTGATATGCAGTTGTATTAGCATTGGCACATATCAAGTTCATCGAGATTATTTGGCCCTGCCCCTTCAGTCATGGTCTATTGACTTAGAAACTTGAGCTGAATTTACATGTTTTGTGATTGTCTGCAAGGTGATCCATCTCATTTCCATGGCATTTTTTTTGGGCCAGCCCCCTCAGTCCTTTAAATTGCATAGTTTACATTTTGAAGTTGTGATTAGATCAGTTTATGATTACTGTAAATTCAGAAACTATTGTGTGCATTTATTATTGAGATTTTGTCAGTTTAGACTTAAATGCGATTTCAATTTTTACGATTTTGAGAAAAATCCTGTTTAATTCATATAAAATATTTCAAAATGCGAGATTAAATTATTGGGTTTACAACTTTTTCGCAATAATAAAAACCTCGCAATAATTTCTGACTTTACAGTAACCAACAACACTAAGTCAATGATATTTAGTATGCAATTGTAATAGCATTCCCTCTTATATGGCCCTGCCACCCATAGTTTATTGACTTGGAAACTTTTGCATTGTTTAGATGTTAAAGTTTGTGTTTGTCAGTTTAAAGGGAACTTACATATGAGAAGTCAATGGTATTTGGTATGCAGTTGTATTGGCATTTACAATTTTCAAAGAGGTTATTCAGCCCTGTACCTTCAGTCATGTAAAAAAAAGATGTGGTATGATTGCCAATGAGATAACTCTCCACAAGAGACCAAATGACACAGAAAATAACAGTTATAGGTCACTGTACGGCCTTCAACAATGAGCAAAGCCCATACTGCATAGTCAGCTATTAAAGGCCCTGAAAATGACAAATGTAAAACAATTCAAACAAGAAAACTAATGGCTTAATTTATGTACAAAAAATGAATGAAAGACAAATATGTAACACATCAACAAATGACAACCACTGAATTACAGGCTCTTGACTTGGGACAGGCGCATACATACAGAATATGGCAAAGTCAAACATGTTAGAGGGATCTTTTGCTTTTTCAGTATTTTACTAATAGATTAACTTAGTTTTTTGCAGTGAATATTTACACAGTATCAGTCTGAAATTAATTTTTTTTTTATTAAAACTCCTTATTTTTGCTCTAAAATCTGAACATTTTTAAATGTGATGATAATTTGATGAAGGCATATGTTATAATGTCTAATTGTTTCTGTTAAAGAAGATTTTAATCGATTGCATCATAAGTGGTGTAGTTGTGATGTCGATAATGTAGAGAAGTTCATTATAAACTGATTTTTGGCATAATTTTGCAAAATTTATGACCGCATTTTGAAAAAAATTAACAGTGGCCACCTACATCAACAAATACTTATGTTAGAATATTCCTCATTTACCAAATTTTTTAGTTTTCACCATAATTTCAATAGGCGAGGGGTGGTGCCACATATAAAATCTTAAAACATGGTTTAAAAAGGTTGCAAATCTCTTGAAAAAAATATGATTTGGTGAATCAACTCATTTGTCTATCTGTTGAGATGAAGAAACCATATTATGAGTTCATTACTTTGAAGTTAATGTAGTCTGAAATTTGCCAAAAAAATTTTGACATGATTATTTAACTGGAAAATTACATTGAGCTGAATGCAGACCTGACTGAATTGTTATATTAATTTAACTCCCACTAGATAATATTCTTTGCACAGAAATAGATTTTTAATTGGGAAATGGACTTTTAAATGTTATTGTCTACCAAGTTTGAAGCAAGATGAAGGGAAGTCCTAATGAACTACTGAT